CATCGATACTACTTTACACTTAACTATATGTACATAATACGATGCCTCAAGAAGATAATTTACGTTAAGATATAAGAATTATTATAATTATGTAATTATATATATCTCTATATATATTTTACTATATTTAAATAATTCTTTCTTAAATTAATAGTAAACAGTCTATATAAAAAAAACTCTTACAGAACCATATCAATTTTGTACAATTAAGCTATTATTATTCATTTAAAGCCGGACTTGCATTCTTTTTCAAACAAATTGCCAGTAAAAAAGATAAGCACTCAGTGAAAAATTGCGTCTTCTGTAAAAGTAATGCTTTAGACAACGAAAGATATTTCACTTGATAGCCCTGTGTCTGTTTGCTACTCTATTATTCAGTCAGAAAAATTGTTTTCATAATTGATATGGAATTCCTTAATTTCTAAAATTTAAAATTCAATACTTAAGATCATCCTTAATCCATCCTTATATAGTATTTCTGAGTAGACATTTTTCTATACGACTCTGAGTTTATACAATAAAAGTACACGTTTCTTTACGTGCTAATGGCAAGTATTTTTAAATGATGATAACGATAACAATGTTTTAAGTCGGCTTTTCTTATTTCAAACTGAATCTTTATACTTTTTAGTCGAATGAATGTTGCTATCGCTACAATCGCAAGTCCCACAATTTACAACTGTTTCTGTTTTGTTATTTACGATGCAAAGGTAACAAGGACAGGCTCGGACGAAAAGTGCAGGTGTGCGCTGGACTATAGGACAAAAGAAAAAAATTTTAGGGCAAGAATCCAAAAGTAGAGCTAAAAGTGGGTTAATTAAAAGAGCACACGTAATGCATAAAAAAAAAAATTCAAATTTTTGCGCAAAGATATAGAATAGAAGAAGAGCTCATTTTCCCTTGATTAAATTGCAAAGTCATAAACAGTTTAAATATATTTTGAGCAGGCATTTAATTAGCGAAATTATGAAAAAAGAAAAATCTCTATTCTCTATTCATCGGAAATTCGGATATCGATAATTTTAACTATGCGTATAGCCATTTCACGAATACACGCAAAACATTGTGCAAGCGGTTTTGTCTCTGTATATCCGTTACTACACGCTTGTTGTTTAGTTTCATGCAAAAATGTGCTCAATCCAAAACTCAAACGGGAGTTAGTATTGTTAGGTCACACACTCACATGCCTTCTCATCCATATCGTGGTCCCCGCAGGACGGCTGCTGGATATACTGAGCCGGCTTCAATGGCCGGCCATCCTGGTCCTCTATCTGAATCACCAAACCGTGATTGTTACCATGTGGATTTCGTGGGGTCAGTCGCCAGAATCTCAGGCCGTGCTTGACATTCAGCGCCAGATGCGTGCCTTCGGCCGTCAGAGGCGTCACGACGGAGTCCATCAGCCGCTTCTTTGCTGCGGAAGTCACAATTTCCTAAATTCTCCAAATATTCACGCGCAAATTCACGCGTAAACTATACGATAAATAAATACTTACATCGATGCTTCTTCAGCGACTTGGTGTAGTAGTAAACGGATATCCTGATTTTCTTCTCATCATCCTCATCCTCGTCAAAGTCGGAGGTTGTGATATTTTCCTGCGGTAGCTTATAGATCCGTAATCTCGCAGCGACAACGAAATCACTGGAAGTAAGATTCAGTTGGAAGTGCATGTTCATTAAAAACGGATCCATCCACGCCTCCGCATCCGTGTTTCGAGGCATTTGACCTGTATGTAACAAATCGGGCGTTGCGTCCAATGAGCAGTGTTGTTTTTCAAAAATTATCATCGTCGTGCCTTCTTTTTCTTTCTTAATAACGCGGTTACACGAGCAAATTATTAAGTTACTCACATGTAGGCGAAAACATAGTAAGCTTCTCACGCTGAACCTGATTGGTCTGTGTGCTGAGATTGAATCTTCCAGTTAGAGCAAGAATTCTCATCTTGATATCTTCGATCGCCTTCTGGCCATGACTGCACAAACAGATCAAAGTTTATTAGGTTACACGAAACGTCTAAATAAAATAAGTAACATATATTTCAATCTTCAAAACTTTCTACAGCTTTATTCAAAGCTTGAATTAGTAAAATTATTTTCATCGTGCACCTTATCATTATTATTATTAATCATGCGCAAAACATTGGTTTGAAAAATATAAGAGATGCGGAATCTGTGTTAAAATATTTAAAGAAAGTCTTGAAAGATAATTCTCCTTCGTAAGGAGTGACTGATCCTGTACATAAAAATTAAGTGTCAAATTATTTCGCAAGAGAGTATAGTATAGTTTGTTCTACCTTTAAAATCTCCAAGGAGTTTAAACGGTAGATATAGAGAGAGAGAGACACACACAAAAAAGGGGCCTAAACTGTTAAGAGACGTATGTGGGAGACGTATTTCGGGATATTCTTAAGAATTCCGAATTCGTAGAATTGGAAGAGATTTAGATTTCGCAACTCTAAAACGGACGAGACTTCGTTCCCTATAAACCTAGCGCGGTGGTGCGTCCGCCGGCTCGGAGAATTTTCACCTCAGGTTCCCGGCGGACTCTTCCGGGTGCCGACACGGGCCAATGGACGATGGT